GAGGCGAATGGTCGAGTTCAGGAAAGTTTCGGGTCTAGTCTTCGACGAGAGCACATTTGATCGTAATGCTAGTAAGGGTGAGTTCTCCGAGCTTCAAAAAGCGGCTAAACATGCTTGGGTAGTGGGAAAGAAACTTTGGGAGGAGTTCGAGTCCGGGAAGATTGATCTCAAACCTAATCAAAAGACGGAGAATCAGTCGGATTCCTGTCCTCATTCGATTACGCTTTCTGGATCCGAGTTCCAGGGGCAGAGTCGGATTATGGAGCTCCCCTGCGGCTTGACGCTGTGGTCGCATATTACTGTGGTAGGGACACCTCGTTGGGCTCACTCGGAATATGATCCCAAGATTTCAATCTTGAAGGAAGGGGACGATTCAGTGATGGTATCACAGTTTATGATGGAGTTGCAAGGGCTGAAGACGGTGGATGGAGAAGACCCTCCAAGAATACTTCATTTCAATCCAAGGTTGAAGGGAGATTGGAGCGGCAAGCCTGTAATCGAACAGAACACCTGTTACAGGATGCAATGGGGCACAGCGCTAAGATGCGAGGGATGGAAATCCAGGGCGGACGAAGAAACTGGTGAGTAACGTTTCATGGTCTTTGAATATGCTTTATTTTCTTGTTCCTGCATGTTTGTTCTGTCTATYGRTAAGAATTCCGTRTCGAACTGTTGGAAATTCAAGTTGGTTGGTGTAATGCATTGAATACTTACTAGCAAGTTTTCCCTTTCCTTAGTCCGTTTATGCGAATCCTGAATTCTGCATTGCTTTCAGTAAATTGACTTGCGATATGAAAACCTATCATACTAATTTATCGTTATCAAGATCTTGAAGCTCATATTTGAAGGATGTAGATTATGTTGTGCASTTGCCTCTTTTCTATGGATTTCATCGAGTGGGACTTTGCTTAACTTGCTATTGGGATTTTATGAAGTTGATGGGCAGGTAAAATGTCAGAAGTGGATTCGTGATGATGACAGCCATTCTGAAGAATCAAAGGTAATATGGTGGCTAAATAGGTTAATAGGACGCACAAAAAAAGTGACCATCGATTGGCCGTATCCTTTTGCGGAGGGCAGATTATTTGTTCTAACTGTGAGCGCTGGGTTGGAAGGTTACCATATCAATGTTGATGGAAGGCATGTCACGTCTTTTCCATATCGAACTGTAAGTAGTCTTTCTACATCTTCTTTAAATTTGGTACTCTGAGTTATCTCAGATTTACGGTGATGACAGGGGTTTGTTCTGGAGGACGCCACTGGGTTGTCTGTAAATGGCGATATTGATGTGCACTCTGTATTTGCTGCTTCATTACCCACTGCACATCCCAGCTTTGCGCCACAGAAGCATATTGAGATGTTGACACAATGGAAAGCCCCTGCACTTCCCAAGCAGAATGTTGAGCTCTTCATTGGCATCCTTTCTGCTGGCAATCATTTTGCAGAGCGAATGGCCGTTAGGAAGTCTTGGATGCAGCATAGTTCGATTAGAGCTTCAATAGTTGTTGCTAGGTTTTTCGTGGCAATGGTAAGGAAAGATTCAACTGTAAAAATTTCCCTGATCAGAAACATTTCATCATTTATATCATAATAGTGACGACAAATTTTTAACTATATTCTGATAGCATGGAAGGAAAGAAGTAAATCTTGAGTTGAAGAAAGAAGCGGAGTATTTTGGTGATATTGTCATAGTTCCTTACATGGATAACTATGATCTCGTTGTATTGAAGACAATTGCAATCTGTGAATACGGGGTGAGTTGTGTGAAAAAGACACAAACCTTATGAATTGGGTACTTTGTTGCTAGAACTAGAAATATCATTCCATGTCGATCTTGCAGGTTCGCACGGTGGCTGCAAAATATACCATGAAGTGTGACGATGATACATTTGTCAGGGTGGATGCAGTGATCGATGAAGCTCACAAGGTTCAAGCTGGCAAGAGCCTCTATGTTGGAAATATGAACTATCACCATAAACCTCTTCGTTATGGTAAATGGGCAGTGACATATGAGGTATGACTGTAAGAATACCTGTAGGTGATGTCATTTTACGGTGCTCTTGTTTGTCATGCTACTACAGGTGTGCATGCTTCTGGGTTTGAAGTGATTCTTACAATGCATCTTTGTTGAGRTCATATTAGTTCTACTGGATTATTGTGCGACAGATGTGGATCTTTGTTAAGCAACTCTGGTGTCCATAGTAAATGCCCTGTTGCTTTTGACAGTTGATGCTATTTCTTCGTGTCCTATGATGTATTTTTATTTGCATTTGTTTTAGATAATTTCACGAGAAGGTAAAGGCTGTCTATCCTGAATAACTATTAATTTCTTGCCGAATGCATCTTTAGTCCGAGCCAATTCTTTTGTGGTGATCCTTGATCAAGTCAAAACCAAAATCTTCTTATCACATTGTTTCAATGGCCTTGTCAGTTGTACATTCCCTCGCTAAGGTTTCTCGTTTTGATTGATTTTGGAGCATTATATTCGTTCAGTGTCATTTGAAACACTCATTGAGCGATCTCTCATTATTATTATTTCAATCCATTCCAGGAGTGGCCAGAAGAAGATTACCCAACTTACGCAAATGGACCTGGTTACATTTTGTCATCCGACATTGCAGAGTATATTGTATCTGAATTTGAGAAGCACAAATTAAGGGTATGTTTGAAACAGTTCCTTTCTCCTCCCCCTCCCCATGAAAAGAAAAGAAAAGCAAAGAGAAAAAAGAGGGATGATTTTGATCAAATGAGGTACTAATACTAATAGTGTTACGAAATGAACAATATTACAGTTGTTCAAGATGGAAGATGTGAGCATGGGAATGTGGGTGGAGCAGTTCAACAGTTCAAAAGCAGTGGAGTTTATTCACAGTCTAAGGTTTTGCCAGTTTGGGTGCATTGAAGACTATTTAACAGCACATTACCAGTCTCCTAGACAGATGACGTGCTTGTGGGAAAAGTTGATGCAACAAAGAAGGCCTCAGTGCTGCAACATGAGATGATAATACTTATATATTGCTAGTTGGAGATTTTCAGAACAAGGAGCACRCAAGAACAAACAAGTTTTGCAGCCATAGTTCATTTCTGTAAATATTATATATTATAAGTGGGGTTTAATTTAATGAGGAAGTTTCTTTTACCTCCATAAATTCATTCATTTTTTCTTTTAAACTTCCAGTTTATGTTATCCCATTTATGCTATAAATGGGSTTGTTAGGTAAGATTATCCCAAAGCTGTTGCTCTRTTTCCAAGTCGTGTCAAGTTAAATATTGAGAAAACTTTTTTGTAAAAGATTTTCAGGATTGATTTTAGACATTACAAAGCAAAGAAAAATCTTCCAAGGTGCGGGGAGCAAGTTTTAACCGTACATGGTTTTAAAAAATTCATTAGTCGAACTAAATGATTTGCTTAAATTATAAATTTGGTTCTAGCTTCTTATAAGTTTTAAATTTTAATAAACTTGTGCTATTAATACCATTACTTTTTATTTGATTAATGAATCAATGATGATTTTGCACATGTGACACATATGTCTAAATAAAGTTAGATAAAATTAATCTAAAATATAAATTCAAGAAAATACTGTCACATAGCTATTTAGTTAGGTCATATAAAATTACATATTCATATTTTAATAAGTTTAAGAAGCATTCTGAAGATACTTAAAGAAAAAAAAAAGCATTTTGGATTGTCTTCTAATAAACTTCAAGTTAACCAGAATCTATCAAAGCATATAGCACCAGTGGTCTAGTGGTAGAATAGTACCCTACCACGATACAGACCCGGGTTCGATTCCCGGCTGGTGCATTATATTTTTTTTTACCATGCTCTTGGCGTGTGGGGGCTTCTCTGCGTCCCGCACCGTGGTACCTTATTTAAGGCAACTAAATAGAAACTGGACCCGACAGAAATTCTGACACTCCCTAAAATCGCGGCGTGTTGTCGGGTGCGGGACATTGTTACGGATTTTACCTCAGGTCGGGTCGGCGCTTTAGGTCCTACCCTGTCTGCCGACCTGAGTGCTTTGGAGCCACTTTCTATATTTTGTCCGCGTTTTTATCTAACTCACCTTTTGGATCATGACAGCCAGGATTCGCATCCAACAGGAGCGACCATGGGGCGCTGAAGGGGAAGTGAAGAAAGGGYTGATGGATCAACTGGCGGAAGCGATTGGTGTATTGGAGGAAGCGTTTGGGAAGCTGAGTAAAGGGRAGGCGTTCTTCGGTGGAGACCAAATTGGGTTTCTTGATATTGCTTTTGGGTCGTTCCTGGGGCGGTTGAGAGCGAAGGAAAGCTCCAATGGGGTGAAATTTATCGAYGGTGCCAAGATTCCTGGGTTGGTCGGATGGGCTCACAAATTCTCCGCACACGCCGCTGTGAGAGATGTCTTGCCTGACACTGAGAAGTTTTTGGAGTTTGGTAAGGTTATTGAAGCCAAAATGAATGGAGTTTCTCCCTAGAACTTTTATTTAATTTGCTAATAAGCTTTTGGGCCTTGTTGATCTTCTCCCRAAAAAATGATAATAAAATGGCCTTTTGAAGTTGCCTTATCATTTGGTTTCAATCACTCTCAATTTGGCTCTAGTGATTTAGTAAAACTTCACCAGAAAATAAGTGGATTTTCSAACCTAAAAAGGTTGGTAAAYTTGAATCAAACCATAATATTAAASGAACCAAGTTACCTTTATGCCTAAACTAAAAAGATTATCTGCAACATTTAATCTTAACCATTCATTCACTTAATCCAAGTAAGTAATAATAATAGTTAGGTAGGGGAATCATGGAAACTGAAAAAATGGTTGGCAAGGAATTAAATTTTCTTTTGTAGGAACTAGGAAGTCCTTTTTGTTATWWAATTCTCAATTAATTCATACTTAAAGAAGTCAACTAAAGAAATCTACCAATTACACCGTTGTTTAGTTGGTGGCGTAGATGTTTAACGATATGGCTTCGAATTATCAGAAAATTGCCTCCATCGCATTCTCCACCTACTCAGCCCAACACAAGTCGCTCTTTCTAGAAAGCAGCTTTTGAAATCTAATGCTTTTTTATGGATATCGAACTCGACAAATCGATAGCGCTTTGTTTTTTTTTTTTTGGCAAAGGGATAGCCCTTGTTCTACTCGCAGAGTCCTTTGATATTATAAATATACAGTAATTCGACCGACATGGGGTTGGTTGGTCACAATCGGACTCCAATACAACATCGTATGTTACAATGGAGATCAATTAAACGAGAATCCGTCTCAATCCGGAGTCTTAATCACGATTCTTGCTGAGAAATTCTATTGTTTTTGGTTTTATTGCAGGGGAGTTGGGAGTTGGGAGTGGGACTAATCTTCTCTGCCGAGAAAAACTCTGATTCCTGAGAGAGCCATGGGAGATGGAGTCAAATTGGACAAGTGGGGCTATGAAATTAGAACCTCATCTGACGCTTGCATCGCCGCCATCAATGCGTACTATGACCAGGTTCTTCTTCTGCCTCTAATTTCGCCATTGGGTTTCTTTAATTTTCGATAATCTGAAATGAGTTTTGAGGATTTTGTTCTTGCTGTACTGTTATTATTGAGTGAAGGTGCTTAGTTATGGGAGGCGGAGGTCCGTAATTTTGGAGGCGCCGGTCCATGACAAGGACTGTGTACTCGCCAACACTTTGGTTGCTCATTTTCTTTCCTCCTCCGAACCTTCTCGAGTTCTTCATCATCTTCGAGCAGCTGAGGCCCGTCTGGTCAGTTCTTTTTATTATTTTCGGCCAAAACGTTCATCTCATAAGTCATATCTTTGTGGTTATTGGAGATTTTTGTGGACAAATTGCTTGAATTTTTCCACTCTACCTTTCAATTGTTGCTATTTTGAAAAGGACCATGCAACCTCGTACGAGAGAGCCGTTTTTGATGCTATCAGTTGTTTGATTTCCAAGGATAGAGACGATGATGTCGCTGTTGAGCTACACGCTGAGGTACTTGAAAACCGGTTCTTTAAATTTTTTAGGATGCTCTTGAAATCTTGCTCTCATCTCTTTTTCTGTAAAATTCTGCCAAAAACAGTTCATCAAGTCTTCCTCTAATTTGAGCTATCGATTTCCTACATCAAAAAGATCATAGAGAAAATTAAAAGAATGGGATTTGAATTATCATGAAGTCAAAACCGAGGATAATGAATCTTTCTAATTTCATTGAAAATAAATGTGGTTAGATTCCTTATATGCAAAGCCCAAACAGCTTCCCGATTGCATTGACGTTTTTTGAAGAATGACAGTGACTATGTAAATCCTCATCAATTTGATCCCTTGCAAATCCCGTGGTTTTGATGCTTTATCCTTTTCTTTTAATCTTCAACCGTTCAAGGTTTAAATTTTAAATAAGCTTGAAGGTTAAGTGATTTCCAGAAACCRACTGTTAAAAAACTTTTACTCTTATAGTCACTGAAGTTTGGATAATTTGAAGTCACGGTGTGATATACTTGACATGGAACTTCAGTTGCCAACTTCCTGTCATGGGCTATCTTCAGGTAAAGTCTTATATCTTGGTCTTTTTCTATTTGATTTTGCAGCTGCTTAAAAAATTTCCAAAGGATCTGGTGTCTTTGAAAAGGGCTCAAGTGCTGTGCTTTTACATGGGAGATGCCAATCTATCTTTGGCTTTGGTTCAGCAGGTTCSTTTATTACCWAAGAATGTAGTTTTTTCGTTATCAGTATTTAAGTGATGAATGCATGACTTCAAATGTTAAAGTATATCGGTAGCTTACTTCCACATAATCACTGATTGAATACTATGAAGAATGGATAAAATTCTATGTTTTGACAGCTTTCCTCCCTCAGTCCCTCTCTCTATATATTGAGGCTTTAGTTTAACAGGTTTTACCACATAATCAAGAAGAAGATTTCATTTATGGCATGCTTGCTTTTCCTTTGTTGGAGCTTGGCTGCATGGCAGAAGCTGAAAACGCTGCAAGAAGGGGGCTTGATATCAACAAGAAAGAGGGTTGGGCACAGCATGCGGTGAGTGTCATTTGAAASCCACTTAACCTTATGTTGTACTCAGCAATGTATCTTCTTCGTTTTCTTTCAACATGTGTATTGGAAAAAAACATACTTTAGTTTCCTCCCTTTTTATTGCTGCATTGGCAGTCATGTTGATTGTTCATACCAAATCATTTGAAGGAAATGGATTAATAATTGTTCGGTATGGATGTTCTCTAATGGGTTTTGGGAAAGKAATGGATCAGATACATGAAATACTTCAAATTTTCATCAAAATCGAATAATATGAACCTGTGATCATCTATCCAGAACACCTTATAACAAGCTTTCAATTTACATCCTGCCAATTGTTGTAACATTTGGATCTTTGCAGTTGTGCCATGTTCTTCAACATAAGTGTCATTTTAAAGAAGCGGTTGAGTTTATGGAAGCATGCTCGCCTTCATGGAGTGACTGTTCATCATTCATGTATGCACAAATAAACTTTGCCAATTAGAGCTTTTATTCAAATGGATTTGTCTGTTTAATATGTTGTACGTTTGAAAATATCAATTTTCAGGGTGACACATAATTGGTGGCATGTGGCTCTCTGTTACCTGGAAGCCAATTTTCCATTAAATAAAATTCTTGAAATATATGATAAGTATATATGGAAGGAGGTAGAAAAACCTGATGCTATGGGACCAGAGGTACATTTAGTTTTAGTATTACTTTGTGTGTGCTGAGTTGTTTTATAGTTTCAAGTCTTAAATATTGTCGCTTCAGGTATACTTGAATGCCGTTGGTTTGATGTTGCGGTTGTTTGTGCGTGGTGAATTTGATCAGTGTGAGGGTCGTCTGAAGATCTTGGCCAATGTT